AGGCTCCACACTTGGCGTGGAACCTGCTTAAGATTCTCCCTCCTAATGTCTCCTTCTCCCCCTCTCCCCACCTCTCTCTCAAAAAAAATAAATAAAATAAAAAAATAAAATAAAATAAAATAAAAACTATTAAAGGATTTAAGAATATCAGAAAGTAGCACAGTGCCAGGAAAACCAGAAGGAGTTGATGCAAGGAGAAAACCTTGAGGCAGGGAAGACCTCATTTGGTGGGGGGAGTGTAAAACTTAGATGCTGGCTAGATTTTCAAGGCATGTGCTAAATCAGTCAGTGTGTTAGCAGTAAAATTTTTATCACCGAATTCTCTTAAGGGAAAAGGCTTCTTTCAAGCATGGAGGCGCACTAGTGTCAAAAACAAGCACAGATTTGCAGAAGTTCATTATTTGCGGTCAGGAAGTTACCGAGTGCCGGCAACAGTGAACACACAGCCCTTGAGTGCTCGGGAGAGGGAGCAAGCCAAGTTTATGTCCAGAGGGGCTGCTGGAATCGAAGGTGAAGTTAGGGAAGGCCGCGGCCAGTGTTCAGGGAGAAATGCTGAGGTTTCAGAGAAAGGGAACGAAGCTAAAAGCATGCCACGTGGGTGGAACAGAAAGGGAAGAGCCTGGCGAGGCTTGCTCACCTTGCTTCTTCCCTTTACACTTTCTGTTTCTGTCTCTGCCCCTGATGCAGCAGTTGTGAGGGGGCGGGGGGGCTGCTTTTATATAGTCAGCCTTGCTTTCTTCACTTTCCTACAAGACTCACTGGAGGTGAGGGTGGAAGAGAAGGTGTGAGGAAAGCTAGGGAAAGACTGAGGCCAAGGCACTGTGATCCAGAATCAATCTGGAAAACATATTTATTGCATTTGGTAGCAAAAGAAGAGAAGTTGCTATGGATGCTACCCACAGCTGTCAAATTGCAGCCAATCGGCTTTATTAACAAGTAGACTCTTATTTGTCACCCAGAGTTTAACAAAGCACTATGAATCTACGTATGCTTAGTAATGTCATTATTTTCACTTGGCCAAATTTTTTTTTCATTTGAGAGAGAGAGAGAGTACACACAGTGGAGAGGGACAGAGAGAGAGAGAGAGAGAGGGAGGGAGAGAGAGAGAGAGAATGAGAATCTTAAGCAGGTTCCACGCTCAGCTCAGAGCCAGACACGGGGCTCAATCCCACAACCCTGGGATCATGATCTGGACTCGAATCAAGGGTCAGACGCTCAACTGACTGAACCACCCAGATGCCCCAACCACTTAGCCATTTTTAAAGAAAGGCCACCAGGGGCGCCTAGGTGGCTCAGCCAGTTGAGTGTCTGACTCTTGATTTCAGCTCAGGTCATGATCTTACAGTTCGTGGGTTTGAGGCCCAAGCAGGCTCTGCACTAACAGCACAGAGCTTGCTTGGGATTCCCTCTGCCTCTCTCTCTCTCTCTCTCTCTCTCTCTCTTGCCCCCTCTCAAATAAATAAATTGAAAGAAAGAAAGAAAGAAAGAAAGAAAGAAAGAAAGAAAGCCCACCATTATGGTCATGACTTCACTCAGAAGTAAAATGACTTTCCTGCTAAGAATCATTCTTCAAGGGTCATTATTAGCATTAGCTTCTAAGTCTGACCAAGTCCCAGCCAATCACCCAGCCCCCTTGGAACAAGTTGCTATGATACTCTAGTTTTAAGATTATACTTTCAGCACTCATATGATAGACAATCTTTGCATCAACACAATAAATCGATAAAATGTTGAGTCCATTTCTAATGTTGACAACAAAAAACGTTTATAAACATTTAATCTGAACTTTCTAGTATCTTAACCACTAAAAACACAGTATGTCCAAAACTAAACTCATATTCCCTCCCTCCCCATCTGCTCCCTCTCTGAGTCAATGATACAACATCCATCCACTGGGTCTCAGTCTGGGACCCGAGAGTCATTCCGGCTTCTTCCTACCTCTTTGAAGACCTGAATATGAAGTTGGTCTTTCACCTGAGCAGCTGTGCCATAGTTTCTTAGGCCAAGAAACAAATGCATCACGTACCATTTCCTTTCTACATTTCTTTTCTCTTTTTCCTTTTCTTCCTCCGTCTCCTTTCCTTTCACAAATACTGAGTATCTGCCATAGGCTGAGCAATATACTAGTGCTGAGTCTTTGGCCTCGAGGAGTTCATAGGCTAGAAGCAGCTGAAGACATGTGAGTTACAGTGCAATGTGATAGGCCCAAAGAAGATGCACCTACGAGCAAGTTACATGGAGCTTGTAGAGCAAGCGAGCCTCCATGAAGTGGGTGCTACTTCCTGCATCCTAAGTAGCAATTTTGAGATTGCTGTGTGGTTAACAAGGCAGGAACTCTCGGCAGAGGAAACAGCATATGCAAAGTGAGAGGTGTTGGACCAGCTAATGGCAGGTTGGACAGTGGTACATAATGGCTTCCAGATCACCAAGTGCGTGGGGTAGTGGATGAAGATGCATAGGTAGGCAGAAACCAGATCATGAAGGCCAAGAGTATAAGCTGAAGAACTTTATTTATAGGAAATGGAAGTCACTGAAGATTTTTGGTAGGCAAGTAAACAAATCAGGTTTGCATTTTAGGAAAGTCACTCTGGCAGAGTATGAAGAACGAATTACAGGTCAGAGGGACCTTCAAAAAGGCCTTTTGTATGGTTAAGGCTAGTTGTCATACCTGAAGTAACATGGAAAGGTAGAGCTGCAGAGGAAGAGACTGGAGGAAGAGATGCTTAGGAGGCTTTGATTCAACATGAGTTTGCAGAAGAGAGAGGAGGCCTGGATGGGCGTGGGTCTCAGGTGGAACGATCACAGAGATAGAAAGCAGAAGGTGGAGGATGGGTGAGAGAGAAAATGAATTCTGTTTTGGATATTTGGAATTTCTTTTGTTTATGGAATCATCCAGCTAATGTTATCAAGTGTGCGTTGGGCGTATAAGATAAAGAAAAACCCAGGGGGAGGATGAGGGTAAAAGCAGGCAGAAGAGGAGGAGACTCAGGAGATTCATGCTGTCCCAGATTCAGGGGAGGAAAGAGTTTTAAGAATAAGTGATCACCAGCGTCAAAGGCTTTTGGCAGTTCACGCGACATTAAGATTCAAGGATATCATCGGTGACCCAAACCAGAGCACTGTCGGTAGCATGATGGGGATGAATACCAGTCTGCAGCAGGCTGAAGGGAAGAAGTTGAGGAAGTGGTGTGTGAGCATGTGCCTCTTTCTAAGGGGTGAGGTCTGGAAATGGGCCAGTCATATTCATAGCTCTCTCACCACCCTTGGCATAGCCCCTGACCCAGCACGCCCTAGAATATATTTGGAATAATTTCACGAAGGGAGTGAGAGATTCTGGCGATGGCCAGATCTGGTCCCAGGCTCCAAAGAGATCTTCTGTGATTGGTTTTCCCTTAGGTATGAGACAATGGAGCATGTCAGTCCACTTCAGTGGGAGGAGCCATTGCAGGAAGAGAGCTTTAGGGTATAGGAGCAGGAAGACACATGATGGAACCAAGTTCCCAAAAAAAGTGAGAGGGGTCAATCCATAGCATGGGTAGATGGATGGAGGTGAACCAGTAGGGGGAGATGGCTACAGGACGTGTCAGGATAAATTCACAAAAATATCAAGAACTTGAGAGGCAATAGTTTATATTATTTCCCACAAAATAGGAATCTAATGTCATGTGTGAAGAATTAGGCAAAAGAGAGACAATAAGGAGCCTGAGAATATGGATGCTTTGATACAACGGCTGAGGGGATCAAAGGAGCCCCAGCCCTGGCCTTGCCCAGAATCCCATCTCTAAGGATGAAACATTGAGACCCACCTCTGCGATGCTCTGATTACTTCCCCCCACCTTTGACCTAGTTCTCCATGTTCTGAGCTCATCCCCCTTCATCAGGCTCTGGTTTTTCCCCACTTGTAACAAGGGCAAACTACAGTGGCAGATGTCCCGATTCTAATACAACGGGATTCCTTAAAAGCAACTATGTTGGAATCGTTGGTTACCTGGGAAAAAGTGTATCGGCAAATCAGTTAATGGCATCCTGTTATTATCGCCTTTTCTTTTCTTCCAGGAGTCCACTATGCAACTGTGTACTGGATGCCTGCTGAAAAGACAGTACAAGTCAAAAACGTACTGGACAGGAATGGGGACGCCTATGGCTTTTACAATGACTCTGTGAAAACCACAGGCTGGGGCGTCCTGGAAATCAGAGCGGGGTATGGTTCTCAGGCCCTGAGCAATGAGATCATCATGTTTGTGGCTGGCTTTTTGGAGGGTTACCTCACTGCCCCGTAAGTACTCCGGTCATGGTGAAGAACTACCAGGCAACTTCTGTCCCTTTCTTTGTCCACCAATGCTTCTTGTCTTCCTGACATTGAACATTAGAACTGGAAAGTAGCTGAGGTCCTCCTCAGCAGATAGAAACATGATCAGAATTATATTTACACCAGTAATCAGGACCTGCCTAGAAGGAACAAAGCCCCCATTGTGGCATTCTTCAATTCTCATGGTACTTAAATCTTTCCTTTTCATGAAACTGTTTTATTTATTTTTTTAATGTTAGTTTATTTTTTGAGAGAGAGAGAGCATGTGCACCAGTGGGGGAGGGGCAGCAAAAGGGGGAGAGGGGATCTGAGGCAGGCTCCATGTTGACAGCAGAAAGCCTGATGTAGGGCTTGAACTCACGAACCAAGATCATGACCGTGAAATCGTGACCTGAGTCAGAGTTGGATGCTTAACCGACTGAGCCACCCAGGAGCCCCTCGTGAAACTATTTAAAACACAGCTAAGCCGTTTTATCCCACTAGTCATTTATTGTCTGGCAGAAGGAAAATGATAGGCAGAGTGACCGAGAAGCACAAAACATGGAAGATTTAATTTAGAATATAAGAACATTTTTAAATGGTCTTAAAACAGTAATTTCAAGTGGGCAAAGATTTTAAATTGAAATTCTGATGTCTAATATAAATATCCCTTCCAGTTCTATTGTTACTTAATTCTCTCGTCTTTTCCTTGTCTTGTGAAAATAACAAGGATGTAGTTAATAATAATGCAATCAGGGAACATCCCTTTCAGAGATAAGCTCTTTAAGGAAAAGAAGGTCACAGCTCATTTAATCAAGCCTCATCCTTCCTTTGATATAAAAAGTGTCTTGATTTGGCTTTCTCTGTGACCTAGACCATTGAGGACAGTTTAACCAAACCCTATTTTGCCCCGTTACCACCTGAGTAAGGCACGTTAGTAAGTGCAGTGCCAATCTCACCTGATTCTAAGTACTGGAGATTATGTCAAACGTTGAATAACTAGTTACTGTGCTCTGGTCACTCTTTTTTAATGAACTAGAAATTCCTTTCTTTCTTTGTTACCAAATTTTTGTTACTCTACCATACGAATTCCCTTAACGGTATATTACTCAGAGATGTATAAAACTTTATAAATAGATTAAAACCTGTTTAAAACTGTGTATAAAAGTGTGTGTGTGTGTGTGTGTGTGTGTGTGTGTGTATGTATAACTTTTCATCCTTCTCTCCAAATCTATAATTATTGTGTATCCACTCATTCTGATTGCATTGTTTAAACTGGGTTGCACTTTTGGAGAAATAATTTGGGCTGAAGTTGTGTGACTATAAATACATTAGGTTAGGGGTACCTGGGTGACTCAGTCGGTTAAGCTTCTGACTCTTGATTTCAGCTCAGATCATGATCTCGCGGTTAGTGAGATCAAGGCCTGCATCTGGCTCCATGCTGATTCTTTCTCTCCCTCTCTCTCTGCCCCTCCTGCACTTCCACATGGTCTCACGCTTTCTCTCTCAAAAATAAATAAACTTTAAAAAATAATAAATAAATAAATACATACATACATACATACATTGAGTTAAGTCATGTGGGGTAGACATCATGGGCTTTTAGGAAAAACTGTGATTTGAGGGAGCAGCTCTATCTAATCTGAGGCTGTTGTAGGCATAAGCAGGTGTTCCATAGGTCCGGGTATCACAGCAGGAGCTCAGGGAGTTTGACAGAAGGCTTCTGACACAGGAGGAACATCAGATATTCTTATGTCTCAGGAAACATAAGTGTTAACGTCTCACTTCTTGGGGTGGGGGGATGACTTTATCATTTTACCCTTATTTCTAATATAAAGCATTGACCTATCCTTGGTGCCTTTCCTTTATCCATTGATGAAGAAAATCCATAGGATATGGGTTCATATCCATTCTATTTAGTAACTTTTTAAATATTTCTGTATTAGAGTAAAAATTACTGAAATTTTATTTTGTAAAAGAAAAACACTTAGCTACTATTCAGTAACTGGTTTTTGTTTACTCTGCCTTTTTGCCACATCCTTTCAAAAAAAAAATTTCAATATGTGTAAGCGAGTCTTTTAAGATTAAAGCAAACAACTTCCTGCATTTTGTGACCCATTTTAAGGATCTGGCAAGTGAGTCTTCCTTCCCCTCAGACCACTAGCAGCAGCCTGTGCCTGAATGATCAGGAGTGAGGGGGAGGTGGGTCTACTAATCTCAGTAAATACTGGATCATGAAGGAAAAGTTGGGAGACTCTCCTTGGGAGCATTTCTGCTGCAGAGAACAACCTGGAATGAGTGCTTTAATCATAAATACTGTAACACTCCAAGAAAAAGGCCCCTCATGGGCCAAAGCAGTCAAAGAAGGCCTTGTGGAATGAGTGAGTTGTGGGTCTGGGGTTTGATAGATGAGAATATTTGGCCTGTCCAAGAAGAGGAAGAAAATCATTCTAGGCAGAAAGAAACAGAACCAAGTCCTGAGAAAAGGCAGTGCATCTGAAATGAGTAAGTTGCATTTACAAATGAGTGAGGAGTAGAGGAGTAGCCTGCCCATTCCACGGGTGCCGTCCTTTATTTCGATGGTAGAATGCTCAGAGGTTTCTCAAATTTGAAAGACGACCTCTCTGTTATCTCTGTTTTGTATTCATTACTGAGAATTCAAGGATGTCACCTGCTCAGGGATGGACTTCCCATACGTGTAGTACCAAGAGTCTGAGAGGACCTCTGCCCTGCAGGGACTTTGCTAGAACAGAAGACGTTGGCGAGCAGGAAGACGCATGACAAGGAACCGAAGGGGCTGGATGGAAGAGAGAAGTCAGAAATTTGTACATTTGAAGAAGGAGGAGAAAGAAAAAGAGGAAGAGGAGGAGGAGAGGACACAAAGGAAAAAAGGAAGGGAGCGACGGAGGGAGGAAGGAGAACAGAAGCAAAAAGAGGAGAAGGAAGAATTATAACCAAAGCTATCTTTTGAGAGGCTGTCATTCTAATCGCATTCTTGAAAGGTCAAATAAAGAGGGGAGTTTCTGCACCGTCCACAGTAAACTGTCCTCACCTGTCCCGACTGAGAGGCAGGGTGGCTCCCTCGGAGCAGAGGTATTCGCATTCTCTGAAGCAAAGCAGGGAGCTTAAAATGTCAACCATCCGGAAGCTGTGATTGTAGTCACAAACCAATAGTGAAGGAGGAATACAAGTCACAGGCTAGGGTTTGGTTTGTGTGTTTGTTTTCAGCTACACATGGGCAACTGTCTGAGGAGCAATAGCATCTTCATACACAAACAGCATTTTATCCACCTAAAACCTATACTCCTGGGGACTGTAACTTGGGGAGTGTTTGAGTAACAAACGTACTTGAGGGTATGATTCCACTTACTGAGACACAGCCTTGGAGCAAGAGCATCTGAGCCTGGGTGGGAAGGTGAGTATATGCCGAAGGCGGAAGGAGAGAGTCGCCTGTTTTTGTTTTTCTCTCAGCTTGCAAAGTAGCTCAGGCAGCTGCCGGAAGCAATGGGAAGTTTACGGCTGCCATGTTTTTCCCATATCACCACATTTCTTTATTTCTTTAATGTTTACTTATTTTTGAGAGAGACAGAGTGGGAGCCGGGGAGAGGTAGAGAGAGAGAGGGAGACACGGAATCCGAAGCAGGCTCCATGCTCTGAGCTGTCAGCCCAGAGCATGACGTGGGGCTCGAACTCATGAACCACGAGATCATGACCTGAGCTGAAGTCGGACGCTCAACAGACTGAGTCTTCCAGGCGCCCTTCCGACATCACCGCATTTAAAATGGAGTGATGTTCCTTATATTCTCCAGAACCTTGGGGGAAGAAGCATATGCAAAGTGGGGTATTGTGGAATCGACAGTTCAGATATTCAGATAAAGTGCTCGCTTTAACCACCTCACAGGAAATAGTTTGCTCTTTCAACCTATGACATACTTGGGAGGCCAAACGAAAACATACAAAGAAATAGCCTCAAATCCTCCATCATTTCATTTGAAGTGTTCAATAATGTGTTGCTTCCTTGAACTCTTACAACGCTCTCCCGATAACAGTTGGGACCCCGGGCCAGCCCTTTGTGCTGTATCACAAAGCTCCAGGCCATCTAACGTGCTGCCGCTGCACAGTTATCCCAGGTACAGCGGTAGCAGCAGGTACACCTGCACCAGAGCTTGGAGGCAGCACTAGATATTTCCAGGGGCTTCTCTCACCGTCTTGCCCTTCCTCACACTCTCCCACCCCGACCCATCTCCTGAGGAGGCACTCCCTGCGGGATATTGCCATTAGCGTGCAAACCTTCATTCCAGGTGGGGCCCTGAGCTATCCCATGCTGCTCCTTCGGCCTGTTACACACCCCTTTCCAGTAACTCTTAGCACTGTGTTTTCTGAGAACCAGATGCTGCCTGTCACATCGCCACTGATTGAAATATTACTCAACCCCCTCAAGCAAGACCCATCCCCCGTGCGATCTTCCCAAGGCATTTTCTGATTCCATTCCCAGTGGACTGAGCTCTGTCTCTCCCCTCCACTGTCTCTTAGTACTTTAGGGGCAGGTCCTCAGACACCTGGCACAGTACTTCTGCCCCCAGCAGTTACTTAATTACATGCTGATTGGGTTTGATTGAATCCGATGTTGTTCCAGTTCTTTAGAGATGAACGAGAAGTGGGAGGTACATATTTCCATGTAATGCAATGTCTAGGAGCCATAGCCAAATTGTTTTTTAACTTAAAGGGGTGGCTCCCTAATCAGAGTATCTCTTGTCTCCTTGATGATGTAAAAGCTGATAAATAGTCCTAGATTATTTTTAATAAAATGAGTCATGAAACCTTTCTGAAAAGAATGATGATGAGGGTGTGCGTACCAGGTCCGCTCTAGTCTTTAATAAAGTAGCTTATATCGTGTGTGGCTGAGGCAGCTGCTGAAATATCTCCTCGGGAATTACCTAATTTGAGTAAGCCAATTCAAGGCAACCAACACTTGTTGCATGGCCTTG